AAGAACAGGTGGAAATCGATCTCACACTGCTAATCAATTGATGAAATAGGCTATTAAATGGTCGAGCGGAAGTAGTGCAATTGGAAATTTGTATCATTTGATTATTGAATTGTTATTAAAGTGTTTTTTATTGAATTTCATACTTTCTGATATATTTAACCATCTAACCGTCGACATTGCTGACTGTGGGCTGCACATCTATATTTTACTAATTTAACTGTCAACCAAAATCGAGCCTGGATGGGACTCTACCATAGTTTAAATAAAATATTGGGAGCACCCCATCCCAACTACCATAATAATCCTTCAGACACACTTAATACACTAATAAATTATAAAATATTAAAACAAATGTACCAAATCTTAACCAAATAATGACGAGTGTGTCAAGATGGACAGCCGACACTATGATAGATATTATATAGATGATTTGGTAAAAGTGTATTGCCTACCACCAGTCCAGAGGAATGAGAAAGATTATATAACATCGAAGCCAGAAGCCGATTATGCCTAGGTAAACCATTTAAAGTCAGACACAAAAAAAAAACCAGTTTGAGTTTTGGAAAAATGTCCTTTTCCACTGTAGGATGCAAGATTATATAAATACATGCTTAAATTAAGTGAAAGTGCTAAAAAATAAATTTTCCACTCATGATTTAGACTCATAAAACCACTTTGAAAATGCTTGGAGTAATATACGTCTGACTAATAAATGGAAAAGAAAACAACATCTAGATAAATCATAAGAAGTTAAATTTTGTTGATACTGAAACTTACCGATAGGTTTCCTGCCGTTAGAAATTACCACGTGTTTGGTGGTAATAGGCATGTTGTAGAAGATCTTTTTCAATACCTCAGCACTTGTCTTGTATCGATGAATTTCTTTAAGTTTCAATATACTAGCTTCCATCCGTTCTAGTTCTACCTCCATTAGACGATGTTCCTTCTTAGCTACCCTAGCCTCTTTTACGGATTCAGTAAGTTGGGTCTCCTTTTTATTGGTATCCTCCTGCAATTTTTCTATTATTTCTATTTTCTTGCTGATGTCCTCCAGTTTTTTATCGAGTATAGGTTTCTCTTCCTTAAGCTTACCGATTTCAAGAAGAAGTCGGTCGTAGCGATCTCGTTCATATGTATTCATTTCCTCTAGACTTTGTGTCATCTCATCTCTTCTAATGATCTTGATATCCAAATCAACCCGAACGTTTCTGTGTTGCTCTAGCAGCTGTTCCTTTTCTGCCGCCAGAACCATCGAGCGTTTACTGAATCTCTTCAAATCCTCTGCGCACTTCGCAAAATCTCGCTTCATTATTTTTATCCTGTGATCATGGTTTGAACATTTCACTTGACTTTCTCTGCAGGTTTTTAGCAAATGATCTTTTTTCTCTTCTAGTTCAATTATGTCAAACTGTATATAATCATCATAATCTTCATCAGCAATAAGCCACTGCCTAATCCCCTGACAGGCATTCTTTACATGTTCAAAGGCTTGTGGAACCATAAGTAAAACTAGAATATGCATACATTCTGCTTTCTCGGCCAATTTTTTCATAGCCAGTCCAAAATTGTGACTGCTCAAACTATTTTTATCAAAATTATCTGCTAAGTCTACCACGCTGTTGAGACTGAATGTGATTGCTCTCTCGAAATCTCGCCTTTGTCTCTCGTAACAGACTGCAGTTTCCAGATACTTGTCACCCTCTGTCCCAGAGAAGCTGAGACAATATATATTTACGTAATCCAGCAAACGTTTCACCTCTTTCACCACATCGGCCAATTCGAAACGGATGTATTTGTTGCATCGCTCCAGGTATTGTACCACGGTAAGTAGTGACTGCCTGTCAATATCCGTCACGAACGTAGGATCTCCTTGTAGTTTGTCCATGATTTCCAACATATGCTGGAGCTGACGCTTGGATGAGTATGTTGATATCTTTGCTTCCTTCATGACGGTGGTGAAGACGGGAATCCATTGGCGGATCTCCTGTTCCACATCACCCTCGTTTCCAAAATAAGATTGCCGGAGGAGGTCGAAACGGGCTTCGATGACGCTGAGACCACCGCGGACGGATTCTCGAAAACTTTGCAACGACTGGGGGCGCTCTAAGGCCAGGTGGTCGATGGTTTGGCTTTTCCGATAAAACTGAAGAGCTGTAGCTGGCGGCATGGTTCAAAGGTACTTTAATCAAACATCGCTCAAGTGAACAGTCACGGGATCAGTCACGTGGAAACGACTTTCAGAGAGTTGATGGTTTCAAAGATGAAGTGGCTGCAAATAAACGTGAATATGCTCACTTCAGTGATCACGAAATATTGTTAAATGCGAGAGGATTTTCTGAGTATTGAGCACTTTAAAATATGAAATGCGAAGTGCTGTACATACACACGGACTTATATAAAAAATATAAACAAATAATTTTTTTATAGTGCACGATCATTTTTTCTTCTTGCAATTGAATTCGCGATGTGTCATGTATATGCAGAGTAGACTACACTACTTTTTCCTATATATGACAACAATCATGAATCATTTCATCTCAAAAATGTTTGAGATGAGTAAAACATCCAAAACACATATACAAAATAAAGTCACCGCAACCGTATCTTCATATTAGACATTTTCAAAGTTTTGAGGAAGGAAATTTATGCTCTGCAGTGACCATTTAAAAATACATTTATGTATTACGCTTACAGGCCCAACACGCTGATACTCCAGTGTATTCAATCGTATCTTCATTCCTCCCTCTCTCGTTTTCTCCCCTCCACCATCGCCTTCCCTTACATCTTCCCTGCCCGCCCCGTTCTCTCTCTCTGTCTCAGATAGATTGGTCAAAATCGATGTTTGTGGAATATCTAATCAAGTAGACACATTTATTTTTAGTGGCGATCGCCGTTGCCAATGTCTCAGGCAAGAGGAAAGAATGTACTGATGGATGGATCAAGAGTTTAAGAAATGCGTATAATACGTACTTGGATGGATGGATGGATGGATGGATGGATGGATGGATGGATGGATGGATGGATGGATGGATCAAGAGTTTAAGAAATGCGTAAAATACGTACCTGGATGGATGGATGGATGAATCAAGAGTTTAAGAAATGTGTATAATACGTACTTGGATGGATGGATGGATGGATGGATGGATGGATGGATGGATGGATGGATGGATGGATCTAGAGTTTAAGAAATGCGTAAAATACGTACTTGGATGGATGGATGGATGGAAGAAAGAGTTTAAGAAATGCATAAAATACGTACCTGCAGCATGTTCGTCAAGACTACTCCACTTAGGTTTTTTATCGGATATTTTCCAGGGAGAGATAAACTTTATGAATAACTTTACGTCCGAGTAGTTACACTTTAAAAGCCGCGTGCTAAATAAATCCCTTTCGAAGTTTATTTCAGTTACAGGGTATATTAATGATGGCACGTTACCATATCGACTCAGCAATTTGAGATCATCGGAAATGCAAACCAGTCAGATGAAATCACTTCGTTTGCTGTGCTCCGATTATTAAGGATTGACTGATTCATTCTAAGCTTTAAACCTGGTTATGGTGTTAACGTCACTAAAAGAAAAACAATAAATTTTACTCCGAACAGATCTTTTGAGACATATGAATGGGTGCATACAGCAACAAATGAGGCGTATCGTCATGTAACGAATCCTGACTAGAAAATCTCTTAGATTTGAAGTTCTCCCAGCGGAAGAACGAGTTTTCCATTCTATTCAGTACTATCTTTCACACTTAAACTTTTCTAAATCGCTCACTGGATGAATAATCGCACGCCAAAGTAAACGCCCTACAGCGGAAAAATCTCCATTCATAGTTTCAAAGACGTAGTTACAATATGTCCATTTAAAAAGAAATTAATATAGTTGTTATGAATTCTTTTTCAATAAAAGACAGTTTGACCCATTATTCGTAATGAATCTTCTCGATATGCAGCGTATAGGCTGCATATCCGATATATGTATGTGTATAGGTACGTATATAGGTATGTATATATGAAAAGCGTTTCTGCTCAAACAACATCCGGTCAGAAATCTTTGATAAAAAATATTCCTTAAATTTATTTATATTTTTATACCTTCTTAAAGATGAAAATATTCGCTAAATAACTACCACCTTCCCGCCTTCAAAATCACACTTTGAATACGGCCAATGAGTTCCCCGAAATATCCACTTTTATTTGTGTTTGTTTTTGTAACGCTATCAACACAACTTAAATAAAAGAATGCAGTTACGTTTTTAACTAATATTCACCGCAAATAAAACTTAATTTCCGGATATATATATATATATATATATATATATATATATATATATATATATATATATATATATATATATATATATATATATATATATATAGTACTGTAACTTGGATATTTTTGGTGTGGTTGTTTCGTTTTGTTTCAAAGCTATCATTCAATTATGTAGTATTGCTTTTTTAATGCAACTATCATTTTTCGTAATAATCTCTTCAAAATTACAACAATTTAACCACAAATCGTAATTCCTAATACCTGCTTTTTGCACAAATTTGAGATCACAATTGACTAAGATCATACTTGAAATCTTGTACTGAGAACTTATCGTCAAGTGCACGTTTCTATTTCTAATATTTTGCAAGGAACAACCATGTGGTGTGAAATGTCCGATCATAATGCCATTAATTTTGCAATGAATAATATGTGACAATGTAGCTTTCTGTCAATCAACGTGTTGAATAGTAATTAAGGTAGATTCTAGACGGCAGTGGAATGGACAATTTTGCTTTCAAACAATGCACCAATTAAAGTACACCACAGGTAATTATACCTGAAACACAAATCTACAGTATATATTTATATACCCTAGATTACACTAGTAATTTGTTTAGGCTTGTGTCGTAGAATTGTTCCTCAATATCGGCACTTAAAACGACCAGTGTATAATGATTACATCGCTTTTTATTACTACTTTTCCCTTTCTGATTATGTCGGACACTGAAATTCTTTGTGGTCTCAGTGGTGAGGGCGTCCGCCTCAGATGCTGGAGGTCACGGGTTCGAACTTCGGCTGAGTAATGACAAAGACTTATAAAATATGTTAATCAACATTAAAAGGTTAGTGTTAATACTGGTCTGCCTGGTATCAGGATAATGTGAAGAGGTTGGAAATGATGCTATATATCTGCAGCACGATTCCCCAATGCCAGACATCAGTATAAACTGCCACACTGCAGACATTCTAGTGATATGCCTGAAAGTGTTAAAAGTTTCGTTAAAATATATAAATAAAAAAACACATTTTAGACACATTGAATTCATTAATTATCTGCGTGATCAAATCTCTAGACTAGTTCTTTTGTACATCGTTGACAAAAAAAATAAAGAGACTATAAATAATAAGAGAAATGATAATAATTATACCCAATGCACAGTATGAGTCACAATGACCTATTTTCAGAAACAGCCGTCATGAAATCCTATGAACGCAGAAATAATCAATTTCTGGCCTTAGTGCAAGCGAACAAAGTATCATTAATCAAAGCATAAATAAATAAATAAATAAACAAATGAATAAATAAATAAATAATGCGAAAATGTGTAAAGAAAGCTTAAAATTTAAAATTAAGTAGAAAATTATGTATAAAAGATGCCTATATACTGCGAAAGCATTTCTGAATTTATTTTACCACATTAATTAGAAAACATTTATCATTGCAAATGGTAAACCATTAGATTACAGATAGTTAACTAAAATTAATGAAATATTTTATTTCGTGGCTGAAATCAACTCTTATTTACACTGAAAAAGCAAATTATTGTTAAATCGTGTATTCAAAAATTAGGTTTACATTATTAATTTGATTTCAAAAAACATATTTTCATACTTTCTTTCATGTATTTATTTACGACAAAATGATTTCCTGGTGTTAGCACTTTCGTCATTATCGGTACGGTAGATTGAATAAGTTTAATTATATGAATGGTCAAAAAGCTCACAATAATTAAAAACCAATAATTAAAAACCAATATTTAATAACCAATCAATAATAATATATTGAATAATGTATTCTTGAAGTATAACTACTTTGAGATGGTAATGTTTTGCACTTTTAAATGCCCCTAAATATACACAAATATACCAGAAAGAATGAATTTCAATTATTATCTAACATGTATGATAATATCCTGTCCAGACATGATTTCATTCTATAATTTCGAGTAGGTAGGATCCTGGGATAGCATTGTCCACTCTCTCTGATCTATACTTGTACTTATCGATCTAGGTTTTTACTTGAACTCCATATAGGGCATAACCGAAACGTTTAGTAGCTATAAATGGACCTTTACAGGACCGTTCTTGTATTCAGGAAGTACCGACTTTATATGCAGGGTTATGCAACCGTATGTTATTACCCCCATTAAAAGGTTTAAGTACTGTTGTTCTACTTTCTTTTAGCAGTGATCTGTGCTTTCCAGCATGGTCATGAATTTATGACATTTTTTTTTCTTACAGATAAAATACTTAATCAGAGCTAAAGCTTTCTGATTGATTTTTATGCTTAGCAAACATAGCGTTAGGTGGTAAAGTGACATATCGACCCAACATCACAGCAGATAGAGTGACACCCTTCAGATCCGTGGACAAACATTCAGTTCATTTTAGAAACAAGAAACAAGCGTCTAAACATCAATCCTTTTTTTTTTCATTTTTAATTGAACCAACCATCAAATCTTAGCGGGAAAAAAAGTCCGAGTTGTTTCAGTGCCAATACGTCAAAGCTTTTCCTTTAATAAATGCGATTCAAAGTTAGAACTTCGATCCGTATGTAATTGTTTGTAATTGTTTGACGGTAGCAAACCTTTCAACCGATTTGTTCGCTACAGTAATTGATTCTATAATCTCTCACAGAGTAAACATCTATCTACTTGTAAACAAAAGCCACAGATCAAAAGCAAATTTGTATTACCATCACGAATTCTGGGTAGAGGACCCAGAACATCTTTTGCAACTCATTCTATTGTGACACACACATCATTCATTTTATGAGGGGCCTTTACATTTTAAGTACGCCTTTTCTTATGCGCCAATGTCGCCGATTTGATATCAGCGACACACTTTTAAAAAATACATACCCTCTAAAAAAAATCTACGTTAGCTTTATAAAGTGTTTACTCTTTGCATAAATGCCCTGCAGTGGGAATGGTCTCAAAACACAGTATTTTAATTCACTATATTTTCTACATCACTTCCTATTTTCAGTACAACCATTCATCATATAATTGTACAAGCTCTCATCCGTGCTATTAGTATCTCATAGGAAATCTACAGGGTGCTATATCAGACCATTCAGCCTTTTCTAACTCTCCAATATATTATCTGATCATTATCAGGCTCTGACTTTTGAAGTTCAATCATTTTCTTTTTGGCAATTCTACTATATGGCAAATGCTTTCGGATTCGAACAGGAGTTTTTTTATATTGGATGCATCTAACTTTTATTTATTTATTTTTTAAACTGTGATATGCTTAATATTTCTTACCTAAAGGTCATCGCGCATGTCCATATTGACCCATTCACTAACTGGGAAACTCAAACCGTTGCACGTGATCAAAGCCCGTATTGACTGTCAACCGTGACACCGGTCTGCCATTAGCTATACACTTTGCGGTACCAGTGAGAGTTGTCTCGCCAACTCGACGTTGGCCTGTCAGTAATATTCAATATGCGCGTACCAGCTGCAGACGGAATTTCTTGCAATTCAGTCATGGCGTGTGATAAACCACAGTAGTTGCTCTAGCTAACAGCATTTCATAATAGGTCTAGATGATAATCATTCTCGCGTTCAGAACTGAATGTGACCAAGATATCGCATTTCCAGAAAATTTTGGAAACCATTGGTTATAAGAGCCAATCTGAGAATGAGATCCTGCACAATGTGTGAGCCAATTCTATCATTGTTTTTTTTTTTAGACATTCAGACGCTGTAACATAAGAACTATGGTCACTTGATTCTAACGTTTGCTCTTCATGCATACAGTGTGAACAGTCTTGATTACCAGGATCCTGGACAAGAAGTCTCCGTTGGAATTAATGCAATTAGTATGCTGCTCTTTTTATGTCATCAACAGACAAACTTTGAATCCATCATGCGATTCGAAAATCAGGATTTTTGTAACTGCAGAGCCAGTGAAGAGTACCTTTATTTTCGCACTATGAAGTGTTGACCACATAAATATAGGTCAAAGTGTTTAACCTCCGAACTAACTACACCCAAATCTTTACGAGTAACACAATAATTCCTTTATGGTCTGCTGCAAGTGTTACTGCAATGGGCTATCGCTTTCATTCAGCTTGGTTTTACGGGTTTAACGTCTTTTGTCAGCTATACCCAGCGGCCAGTATATTAGGTAGAAGAATGACCCGGGCAAATCACTTAAGAACCACACCTACATCTTTAAGAGTAACACAATAATTCCTTTATGGTCTGCTGCAAGTGTTACTGCAATGGGTTATCGCTTTTATTCAGCTTGGTTTTACGGGTTTAACGTCTTTTGTCAGCTATACACAGCGGCCAGTATATTAGGTAGAAGAAAGACCCGGTTAAATCACTTAAGAACCACCTATGTACCCAAGGGAAGCTACTGACAAACTTTTTCACATACCCACGTTGGCTAAGCCGAAACTCTAACCCACGTGGATATAGCTGAGATGTCAGTGAACTGTAATGGCGACCGACTTAGACCACTTGGTCGATGTTATTACTTTCTTAACCCCAATCGGCAGCTGAGACAATACTGCACCCATACAACAGTTATTGCGTCAGTATTACTTAAATGCTCATGGACAAGTAGGGCACGCTAAAACAGGAGCTGTTGCTATGGCATCAGCTAACTCTCAAAGAACTTTGGTACATTTATATAGCCATTCAGAAGAATCGTCTTTTTCAGTCAAGGGATGCAAAGGTTTAACAATGAAATTTAACACGAACATAATCCAAGAAAACACAACGTTTTCGACATTTTGAGGCAGCAACCACAGCTTATCATCTGGTACTTTTGAAGGGTCGGTAGCAATACCCTCTTAAGTTACAACATAACCTAAAATAGTGGCTTTAACCTTGGGTCAAGGCAAGTAGTTCGCTTTTAAAAATATATCAACGTATTGCTCATATCCCTGTCAAAATCATGCTTTTCCCTTTCGTTTTATCTAGCTGACGGATAGTTTCCCTTCTGGTGCTCAGCCAGCTTGTAGAACTCTTGCCTATTAGCGATTGATTTCCTATAATTGATATTTCCAGGCCTTGCCTGCCTCAATCTCAAAAGGTATTCATAACTGTAATCAATAAACAGATCCAAAGACAATATATCAGTCAGTGACTTTGAAACATTAGCGTATGCTTGTCTGGTCATTTTACCCAGTGAGATAATTCTGACAAGGTTATACTTTCTTTCTTATATTTAAGCTTGGTTTAAAGAAAAGCTCGTTAAAGCTCAGATTTATTCTCTGTGCCAGATCTTTTGTAGCGAGTACACGCCAACAATTAAAGTCACGCCTTTTGTCTTTACACACTTAGGAATGAATGAACGGTGCCTTTTAGAACTGCGGTAGGACCTACTAAATATATGAAAAAATGGGAATAATCCTTGAGCCAGGATTAATTATTAATAAAAAGTAAAATTTAAGAAGAAAATTCTTTTGAGAGCTTATCCCCTTTTTTATTGAACTTTTACTCAAAGTTCTATTGACTCAATTGTATTACTTTTACTGAACTAATTACTCAAATTAGCACCTGTTCTAAGCATTAATATTCTCGAATTGTGGGATACGTTTTCAATCATGGCATACGTAGATGACAAAAACCCTCCCAGGAGTCGAATATACCAAAACACTAACACAAACAACAACAGCAATAAAACAATAACATTATCCACAAATTGGGCGCGTGATTAGAAATGGGGTGTGTTCGCTTTGCAATAAATAGAATTTCTATGCTAAATTTGGTCGAAGACACTTTTGGGTCACAACGGGAATTTGACATGGAGCAGATTGGGCCAGTCCAGAGTCAAGAGGGGA